GGGAGCACGGACCATCGCGCGGCTGAGCGAGTGTAGTTAACTTTCGCGTCTCAAGGCGCCAATTATTTACCTAACCATTGTGCTAAAGCAGTTGTTAAAATGTCCTATCCCCAAGACAGCGCCTATCACCAGTAGTAAAACGCCTTTTGGGCGACCAACGGAGCGAGCGAGAGGATGGGCCTTGCACGTGCGAAATTGCGAGGGGGTACCTCCAACTAACTTGTGCACTGCACCCTACTAACCGGTCTTTAGCGATGTGCCAAATTTCAGCGCAATCGGCTTAGCCGTTCTCGAGATCTGGAAGCGGCACACTGCACGTGCGCACGTGCAAGCGGGGTCCAAACTGACTTTTGCACGGCACCCTACTAACTGGTCCCCAACCGTGTACCAAATTTGAGCGCAATCGGCCCAGCCGTTCTCGAGATCTGGGAGCGCCCCCTGCACGTGCGCACGTGCTGTAGCACCCCAACCTTAACCCGCGCCCCGTAGGGGGGGGGGCGAAACGGCCCCCCTGTCCTTTTCGGTCGATATTTCCTAAACCGCTTCAGATATCGCCACCAAACTTTCAGGACCCCTCCGGGCATCAATTTTACACATTGTGACCAAAAATTGTTCCAGAGGCTATGATAGGTTGGCCACAAATGACGTCAGAATGACGTCATGTTCCGTCATTTTCGACCGAAAAAAGACCTTCGCGAGAAGACCTGTCAGGCCTTTAGCTTTGAAGATACAGAAAAATGATCAAGACATAAAAGGTGTAGAATTGACAGGGCTACAAAACTGCTATCTCGGATTTTTGAAATTTTGAGTTTTGAACCCCAAAAATCAAAAAAACTTTTTTTTGGATATATTAGCCAATAAATCCAAAAAGTTTTTTGAGTTTCAAAAAAACCGGAATATATGTGATAGTACCTACCGTCTTCTATCTACATACCGAATTTCAGATCGATACCTCGTTTTTTGGCCAAGTTATAGCGAAAAAACTGTTCAAAATTGATGACGTCAAATTTTCAAACTCAATTTTTGGCAGTTCTAGACCTCGTAGAGCAAAACAAAGACCACCATTAGACCCCGTGACGAGCTGCATCGAATCGATACCCATTTTATGCAAAATATCAACTTTGAAATTTGACCTTATTTGACCTGACCTTGACCTGACCTTCACCAAAACGTGACCTAGGCTGGCCCCAAAGGCTGCCTAACCCACATAATCGCATTTGTCATGTAAAATGGACCATAAAACATGTATCACACGACACTTTCATATTGTGACCCCGGTGACCTGACCTCGCTGTGACTGACCTGGTATCAGTGACCTCAGATAGCAAAGTATGTGTTTGACGAACAGTGTACCATCGATGGTTTTCAATAAATTACCAATTAACTCGATTTCACAACACATTTCTTGAAATGCCTGTGAACGGTGAAAATCTGACCTTTGACCTGACCTGTGACGTCATCGGTTTGACCTAGGTCAATGAAATTTGGTCACAAGATAGTTCCCGGGTGGGGCTATCGAACGCCGTTTGAATTTTGAAAATCGGCCGGTAACTTTCCGAGATCTTAGGGGGGGCCGAAACGGCCCCCCCCTACGGGTGGTAGGGTCCGCCGGTAGCCCTACGGGGCGCGGGTTAACACATGCAGATGAATTATCTGATGGAGACCTAACTGTGTACCAAGTTTCAATTCAATCGGCCCAACCGTTGTGCCGTTATTGAGGTTGCAATTTTGGGGTTCTTAAAAAATGTCCAACTTTACCACGCGCCACGTGCGGTGGTTGGCAAGAACGCATGGTGGCCATCACACCACAGAACTTTTACGTCCAAGTGACATTCAGTAAAGAAGACCGCTTGTCAATCGGATGTCCCGTTCCTAAGATATTAGCTTTTAAAGAGCGTCCCCACGGCCGGCCGGCCGCTCATACTCAGGATTTTCCCTTAATTCAGTATGAGACTCCGCTCGCTTCGCTCGCTCCGTAATCATACTTGCCATGCACATTACTGTATGCCTGGCCTATTCAAATACATTAGCTAGAGGGGTGTGGTAATAACTGGTGTAAGCAAATTGACCACGGTCAAAAATGCATTACCAGAATGCACTTAAGCCAACATTTTGGGATGGTCTCGTTCCTAAGTCGGCTAAGAGCTTCGGTCCAGAAAATAAATTTATCGGTGGCATACAGTAAAATACATACCAAACTCGGCCGGTAATAAATTTTCAAGACCTCAGTCCTTACTGATTTTTGAACTCGGCCTTCGGCCTCGTTCAAAAATCCAGTAAGGACCTCGGTCTTGAAAATTTATTTACACCGGCCTCGTTCAGTATTATATATTACGACACACCCAAACGTGGCATTGGGACAGCCGATATAATTTATATCACACGTGCATCGAGTTGCGGAGCTACATTGTTTTTAGCAGATAAGTATTAAGGCCTTGATTGAGTTCATTGGTGTCTATTATTTTGCACAGCAATCGTCCAGACACGTGGGAACTGGGGTTTTTGGATAGCGCGGCGTCCCAGCTTTAAAGGTAGTGTGCCAGCTTTCCTGGACCGTATGGAGTTAATGGCCCAAATATGGAGAACCGGATTTTTAGAACTTATCCATACCTTCAAAACTCATGGAAACGTCTTAAACTCTTCAAATTTTGAGTACCCCAGTGCGAAATTCGCCCCGACGGGTTGTCGGTCGTACCCCAACCACATTTCACACCACTATAAACAATAAATGCACACACTGAAATCGCTATTACCGATAGGCTCATCCAATCAAGTTTCGATAAACCCGTTCATATCATCTCCTGCGGTTTCGAACACGCCTGTTAGGTGGTGCGGTAGACCGCGCCCAAAGCCAGGACCCCGGTAACGTGAGGTAGCCGAGTCGGGGCAGCGTGCGCTGACCCAAGCCGGGGCCGCGCGTCCTCCCGGTGTCATGTGATAGCCCGGGGCTGCCCGCGGGGATGCGGTAGACCGCGCCCAAAGCCGCGGCCCCGGCTTGGGTCAGCGCACGCTGCCCCGACTCGGCTACCTCTTGTTACCGGGGCCCTGGCTTTGGGCGCGGCTTCTGCTCATACTTTGTGGTGCGGTGGTGGTGCGTCGGGCCGCGCGCTCCGACTTCGGCCAAGAAAAATGCGTCAGCTGATCATTGTCATTTCTGCCATTTCCATGTGGTGAGATGGGGTCATAACTTAAGAGACGGCTGTTTCATATCAATTATTTTACATAAAATAATATTTCAAACCATAAATTAATGTTCGACAGCCAAATTAAAGAAACAATACCAATACAGGCTTACAGTTTAAATTCGACATTGTGTTGTCTACGATTAGACAGCTGATAACTCATTCCCGTACGTCGTAACTCTATAATGACCTTTGCTTATTGTCACATGTGCGCCGCATTCGCGATTGTTGCCGACGCCTGTTTGCAGGTCAGCCCACTACAGTTGTTATACATATCGAAAAACCGATAAACTTTTAGGCGAAAAAAAACACTATTTTAGGCCCATTTTTGATTTTTTTTTGCGATATTAGGTAAAAACAGAAGCTCTTATCCTAGGAAAAATAAAATGGGAAATCATTGGAAGGCGGCACACTACCTTTAAGCAACTCTTACTGTTCCTCTATTGTGTGGTCTCAGCCACCAATAGCAAACCGTTCCATCTAGGAACAAATAAGTCGCGCACCTGGGACGGTTCGAACCGGGTTTCTCCAACCGGTCACCCTACGACGCTAGCGCGTATCCACTGAGCTGCCGAAACCAGCGACCACTCGCCGCGGTCAAACGCGATCAAATGTCCGACAATACTGTCATTGGCGGTCAGCGGGTGAATGTCATTTGTTTTGAGCAGACGAGGACCATTCTCGGTAGCTCAGTGGATGAACGCTCGTGTCGTGAATTGGCCGGTGGGAGAAGCCCGGTTCGAACCCCCCTGAGTGGCCGACTTCTTGGCTCCTAGTTGGAACGGTTTGCTATTGGGGGCTGCAACCACATATAAGAGCAACAGTAATAATCGCTTTAAATTGGGGCGTTGGCTGCGGCGCTACTCATAACCCCCAGTTCCCACGTCTCTGGACGATTGCCGTGCGAAACAATAGACACCAATCTGCTCAATCAAGGCCTTAATACTAATATGTTATACAAAATATAGCTCTGCACCTCGATGCACGAGTGACGATAAGTTCTATCGGCTGTCCCATTGCCACGCTTAAGTGTGTCGTAATGTGCATTGCAAGTATGATGGTAGGCGCTGTCTTAGGGATAGGACATTTTAACAACTGCTTTAGCACAATGGTTAGGTAGAATAATTGGCGTCCTGAGACGCGAAAGTTAACTACACTCGCTCAGCCGCGCGATGTCCGTGCTCCCACCCCACCTCACTCCCCAGTCCTCGCCAGCTGCCGCGCCGCGCCGACCCGAGCCATGCCTCCGGGCTCGGCCCTCACCGCTGCGCTGACGTCACAGGCGGCCCATATCACCTTCCAGCCACCGACCCAGACCGGTGTCATACGGGTGGGTAGGCTGTGCCGCTTGACAAGTAAGTGAAGCGGCACAGTCTACACTGTAAAAAAAGTTTACCAACTAGTTAGTTATCCGGCCACTTTTCACTAACCATAGGCGTGTAAGCAAAACACGCATTTCATGACTAAGTGTGTTTTCAATTACACGCAAAAGGTTGAATAGCGTGTTTTGAAACACACCTCCTAGTTTTCGAATATTTGCCAGGTTACTAAGATAAGCCGTGTAAGCGTGTTTATTGACTATCATCGGTGTGTTTTGTTAATAACTACAGACGTGTTAGGTAACACATGTGTTTGTCACACGGCCACTTTTCACTAGCTATATGCGTGTACGCAAAACACACATATTGCGTGTTAGCTAACTAAGCTGTGCGTGTTAATAAACTAAATGCATTTTTGAGAACAGGCGTGTAACTTAACTAATGTGCGTGTTAGTCACCTCTTTTCACAGCCGCCCCCCCCTCAAAAAAAAACGAATCGTAAACTCATCAAACATGTTTATTCAAAACTGCATTCAAGCTCCTTTCAGCAAGCTTACAACTGCAAACAGTAATATTTCTCTTATTGTACTAAAAATGAACCTAAAAAAGTAATCTTCTGTAGGAAACTGCCGAGCGGCAAAGGCGCTCCGTTCTAAAGTTACGTTCTAAGCTATAGGCACAGAGCTACGCACAGAGATGCTTGAGACTCTGGACATGTCCCAGGGCGCGGTTCGAAGGGTTAACTGCCGAGCGGAAAAGCATTCCGTTATCAAGTTCTGTGCTCAGCTACTCACAGAGCTGCTCGAGACGCTGGACGTGTCACACGGTTTGAAAGTGTTAACAGCCGAGCGGCAAAGGCGTTCCGTTCTCAGGTTCCGTTCTAAGCTACTCACAGAGCTACGCACAGAGCTGCTTGAGACGCTGGACTCGTCCCAGGACACGGTTGGAAAGAGTTTGGTTGCCCCCCTTTTCAAAGATGTTCACCGTGATAAATATCAGAGCGTTCTTAGCCTTAGACACGGGGCACTTCTGGTTGAACACTGGGAAAATCGCTGCCCACAGAAGCAGGAGATCAGCCTTGCTGCTCCGGTCCACCGACCTTGTCAAGCAGACCCCCTCGACGAAAAGGCCGATGGACCCGTCGTCGTTGACCTGGTAGTGCGGCGCGCTTCCTGATCCCTCAAAGATGTCCTCGGGGTTCGCGTCTAGGTAGTAGAGGAGAGACTCGACGCAGTCGGTGTCTGAAATAGAGGTAAATTTTCAGACTGATATTTACCTCTAACAGTATAACACTGCTACTTGCTAGCTGCTTGAGTTCTTCCGATCTCACGGATATCGTATAAAATGCCACCAAGGCCTCGAATTTCGAGACCATGCCGCTAACAACACAAATTTTGATATCTATTTTTTTTTTGGGGGGGGGGGAGGGTCAGTTTTCACCTGGTCATGTGAAAACTGGTCTGGTCGTCAGGTCAAGGATCAAGTGATTCGCCAATCCAATAAAGGTCGCTGAAGTATAACAGCACAAATGTCAGTATAACACCTGTTCGGCGATGAACGAACGAGCCCAAGAGGTGTCACGTTTATGAAACGCATACTGAACTAGCTGGCTGCTTTTGACCATATCACTGTTAATTCGATCAAATAAACAGCCGTGAGCCACCTCATGGGCGATGAAAGAGCGAGCGAGAGAAACAGGCGTCACAGAGTAATTTGCACGCTTAAACCTAACTAGTTAAGAGCGTTTTGAAAACAAGGATAAACAATGCACAAAGCACACGACACAAGTCAGAGTAGTATTTTGAATTTAATTTTCATTCATCTGCTAGGTACTAGATTTGAAAGTAATGAGCAGAGACGTGTCTCACGTCGCCCATAGGTTAGTAGTTCGGCAGCAATCTTGCATGGTCGTAATGGGGGGGGGGGGGCAATAGTTGACGTGAATGGTTTACCGTATTTACCTTGACATTCTGTGATCAGTTGGATGGCGGTGAGAAAGTCGCTCAGGCGGCGCCTGTAGTCACCAAGCTTAGACGACTCCGTCTCCCCCTCCAGTTTGGCCAGCTCACGCCAGATCTGGAACAACCGGCATCAACAATATAATTAGAGGACAGTTAAGTCATATTATAGAATCCTCCATGGATGAGAAAACGTCAGAAAGCTATGGTGGGCGACGAATAAAAGCCGAAACGATGCAACACACAGGGGACATTTTATGGAATTAGAGAGTAGGAATATAATGACAATTTTACAACTTCCAAGGCATACTTAGTACTTACTTCGTCTGGGTTCCGCAAGATTGGATACAGCTCCAAAAGCTTGCGCATGCTGGTGCGGAGCGTCACCACATGCCTGCGCCTGTCTGCGAACGTCGAGTTGATCAGGGCCTCTCGCTCAGCTTTGCCTTCGCTCGTCAGGTTAGCCTCGTGTAGATGCTTCAAGAGGCGGTTTCTCAGATGCTGAACGTCTTCTCCGGCATAGGCGGAAGGTACTCTGTCGAAATGTTCATACGAAATGTTAGAGCCAGGGGGGAGGAGGGGGGGAGGAGGGGGAGGAGGGGAGAGAGAGAGAGAAGGAGAGAGAGAAGGAGAGAGAGAGAGAGAGCGAGAGAGCGAGGAGAGAGCGAGGAGCGAGAGAGCGGAGAGAGAGAGAGAGAGAGAGAGAGAGAGAGAGAGAGAGAGGAGAGAGAGAGAGACCGCTCTCTTCGCCCATGCCAATAACTTCATATGGCCAATGCAAAGTGGCACACTACCTTTAATATATGCAATGCAAAGCTTGCAGAAGGGCAAAATATTCACCACTAGTCGCTTATCAGTCACATGTACTACATCATACTACATCGCTGTCTTGCATTTCACAATGCACAATGCTTACCCTTGTAGCCTTCGAATCCTTCATATCGCGATCCCTTGAATGTTTTTCCGCGTGACAACCTCTTTGATGACGCTTGGAGTTCGGCATCACTTCCGTCGTCTCGTCGCTTCTCATTCCTTACGCGCCATTGTATTTTTGCTTTGACCTGCGACTGAGACAGGAAAAGCAGTGCATAAATTACAATCCAAGGGTAGATGTAACGTTAAGGGCGTTCAACATCCACTGCAGCTGGTATATAGAGGCAATGCATGGTTCACACGGAGGCTGAACTAAATGGTACTTCGACTCCGTAATTACTCGTAGACTTTATAACCTTTGTCCTTTGCCAATACCATATAAGGCACGCATTTCAAGCACATGAAGCTGATCCTTATGCGTTTGTGATGCTGACTTTAACTAGTCATCAAGTGAGAGTTGATTCCGCAGTCGGAGACAATTCCGAAGGGTCGGAATCGGAATCGGAGTCACTCAAAAACACATTGACTCTGCAACCCTCACATGCAGACATACATATTTACATACATACAACATATACTTCATAGTATAGCACACATACATACATACATACATGGATAATTATGCATATATCCAGTGCTGCGGAGTCGGAGTCGGAGTCGACCGGAGTCGGTAGTTTTGGCCGGAGTCGGAGTCGGAGTCGATAATTTTTCACCGACTCCGACTCCGGGCCGGAGTCGGAGTCGGTTTCAGCACATTTTTAATATTTTCCTTCTCTGTCGCGATGTTGACCAACACATTGACCTTACAAGCTGACCTTACAAGACATTCGGAGCCCGAACCGTTAACTGAATGCAAAACGGTTGAATAGGGTCGCAAGAGCTGTTGAATTATTCTCTTTGTGGCTATATAGCCCATATAATTTCCGACATACAGGGACATTTATCTGGCAATGTCCAAAGAGCACTTTCGCAAGTATTCATTACGAGCTTTCGTTTGCTTTTGTCTCGTCTTTCTAGTCCTCTTGGATTTCAAGTTGAACGGACAGGGAGTGGGGGAGGTCATTCTGACTCCCACCTTACCCCAAAGGCGAAAGTGGTTCAAACCCCCACCCCAGCGCGGGTTAGGAAATAAACTTGAAAACTAATTTTGAAGTGAAGTTTAGTTTAATTCCAAATTAGCCACTATTGTTCCGCATTTAAACCAGTGCGAAGAAGCCGCCCATATTTAGAAACATTGGTCATGCAGGTATGTCAAAGTAGGGCGGGTCGGAGTCGGAGTTGGAGTCGGAGTCGATTTTTTCAAGACGGAGTCGTAGTCGGAGTCGGAGTCGCTAAAATTTGGTCGACTCCGCAGCCCTGAATATACATACAAGTATGGCCAGATCCAGGGCCGGAGCAGTTCGCAAACGCTTCAGTTCAGTTCATTCAGATCGACTTTACTTGAGGTTCAGTTCAATTACCTATTTTCCAATTCAGGACATGGTGACTAAGTGCCTCCGTTCAGTATATTCAGCTGAGTTCGATTAGATAAGTTCACGAACTGTCCCGGACCTGGACCGATGTCATTTTCTATTAGTTGATGGAATCAAACAGCAACGCAATAAGTGCTTACCAGTGCCTGTTTCGGGCTGCACCCAAAGTGCAGCGCCGGCCATTGAACAAGGGCGCGGTCAGCCAGCTCCATGTACCGAGCATGAGTAAGGTTCAGGACGCTTGGAAAAAGAAAGGGCATGGGAGAGCTTAACGACTTGGAGACGCTAGAACAGGAGTTTTCAGGGCAAGGCATAGACATAAGACATCATTTAAAGGAAATATGTAAACATGAAAGCACACCACACGAGACAGTAAAACCGACATAAAGGTGGAAGGCAGGAAGGTGTCACTGGGTCATCCGAGGTCACCTGAGGTCACAAGCGGTTTTTGTGCAATAACTTTTGATTGAATTGAGATAAACTCCGTTCGACGATTATTGTGTTTGTCTCGTCAATGCGCATCGAATGAGATGAACCTTGCCCTGAGGTCAACTTTTCAACTTGACCTTTTGAGGTCATATTATATATCATTCAACGCGCCTTGACGAGCTGAGAACAATGGCGTGCGAATTATGCCTCTATCTTTTCTGGATCAAAAGTTATTGAAGAAAAACTATCAAAAGTAAAAAAGAACATTTTTTCCTCGGTGACCTCTGGTGACCTAGTTTTTGGTCTGACCAAAACATGACCAAAATACTTTCCTACTGGTTTTTAACGCTCTTTCGAACGCCGCCTATCGCTTGTCTCAACGATGCTCAGGAGTCGAGTTAGACGGGGGGTGTAAACCCCCTGCTCCGCGGCCCGCTGTGTTACAAATGGAGTACCGGCCCGGCGCGGGTTACGGCTAGGGCTGAATAAAAATGTACCAAAAAATGCATGATAATAGTATTTTATGTTAACTTCAATGTCCTCAACCCGCGCTACAACAACACCACGTTATCTACGGGGATGATACCTGTTACAAGCTTTCTCGAACGTCACGATGACTGTCGTCACTTCGCTCCACTCCGTCCTGGTCAGAGGTGAGCCGGGCTTTTTGCTTCGAAGCTTTTCGAGGAGTCCAGGTCTCAGCTGGCTGTCGTCAAACCGGATCACTTCCATGGCATCCAGGACTTCCATAGTATCCATCCTGCGAAGAAAACGAACCGAAATGGCATTAGTAACTGGTGGGTCGCCGCACCAGAGACCGCCTACTGCGCCTAGTCACCACAGTCGAAGTCTTGCCGCGGCGCAGTATAGTCTATCCTCGCGATCGGAATAGATGTCAGTGCCAGTGGTCACCTGTCTGAGGAGCATTTTGGCAACAGGCAACCAAACTGGTGGACAAGCTGGGATTGGGTGGCACGGTTCGGCGCAGCGATCCGCGGGAAGGAAGACTGTCGATCTACTAACAAATATATAAAATTACGTAACTTTTCATACAGATTCATTCATAGAACTCTTGAGGTTTATAGAGGCCTGTGGTTCATTCGATTAAAATAAATGTAGAAATAACGATGAAAACTCGACACACCCGATTAAACAAGCGCTGAAAGGTTTAATTCCAAACGCATAAAGACAAAGTCAGCCTGACAGACTCACCGAGACACTCCTGCGGTTTGTTGAGATTCGGCCAGAGCGTCGCTTCCCGACTTCGGCCGGATCTCTGCGTCTTCCCCTGATCGACGGAGTTCGGGCGACGTTGGAGGCTCCGGTGCATCCAGCTGCGAAACCACCACTGACGAAGTGGATGTCGTCCCAGTGCTGAAAATGGATGAGAGAAGATGTTTGATACAATACCAGATTAGGATAACATATTTTTTTTTTCAGGACAATTTCCAACTACGCAAACATTCATAGGCCGAGCTTGTTCAATACTTACGAACGCAACTGAGCAAATTCAGTTGCAAATGATTATGGGCGTTTTTTTTTCTTTTAGAGTTTTATAACTGCATTCTGCGTAAGCAACATTTTATTTCTCAAAACAACCTAACTTAACAGAGATCGATGTCCTACCTTTCAAGAACAACCAGATCGCCACGCATGACGGTCCTGATGCGAGGCCGAACACCAGTTATCGCATCTTCCTCATTCAGCAGGACCCACGAGGACCAGTCGTCATCATAGATCTCCAGATCCCACTCGCCACCCTGGGGACAAAACATGTACCTCATTCGTAGCCAGGTCGGGAGTAGACCACACACATTAGTCGCTCCAAGGTGGAGAGGGGGATGGAAATGATAGGCAAACACATCCGACATTTTCATACTCAATCATTACGCATAATCATAGAGCCTTTGGTTGCACTCTTCTCTTTCCTGTTAGACTACTGACAACAGCTGCTGTAAATGGTTGATGTTGCATTTGAGATAGACTATGTATTTCCAACACATCAGCCTATTTTCAATCTGAGCCTCGTTCAGCAGCTTAACATTATGGTTTACGTAGGTATATGGCTTTGCATTACCTTAAACAAATTGTGTAAATAAATGTTTTTTTTTTAATGTCATTAATTAAATTTTCTCCAAATGGTATTGTTTTACGGAGGCCGCTGTATTATACTTTCCATAATATGGACTTTTTTGCTCACAGACCTTAAAATATAGTACAAAATACTATTAGGTACTATATTTTAAGGTCTGTGAGCAAAAAAAAAAACGTTATTTCAGCCTTTTACTTGAAACACGACATTGAGTCCCACCGTTAACTAAAATTATTCCGTCACTCTTCCAAAAAAACAAACAAACAAACAAACAAACAAACAAACAAACAAACAACAAACTAACCTGCAGACCGAAGAACGCTCGAACCTTTTGAACAAGGTCCAGGACAGACTCGAATTCGAAGACGCGCGCAGCACTTCGATGGTTTACTAGCGCCTTCATCGTTGACCGCTGAAAAAAATATGACAAGTGGTTACATTAATTATCTAACTACAATGTCCTAAAATCATCGATAGCCATGGAGTGGGTGAAACAGCAAGCGAAACAGCACATGGTTTACTATTTACGCACACATTAGACACGTGGGTTGCACAGCTCACTTCACGGGTGGTTGGATAACATCGGGTATCCCAATCCTAAAAGACAGACATAGCTTATTTGAAAAGCTGAGACAATGCCGATTCTGAATGTCATCCAGAACGCTGAAAACGACGTTTTATAACCATATAACGCCTTCTGGGCGGTGCACGACCGAGCAAAAGAGAGGTTTTGCAGAGTATTTTACACGCGTCATGTCGGATAGAAGTTAACGACTGGAGATTCAGCAATTATGATGATGAAGATGATTAGCCAGATGCTCATTATTTAGGATCAAAATTGATAGAATAGTTGTATTACGTTTCACCCACGGGGCTTCTTCGGATACATATGTTTGTCATATGTATCCGAAGAAGCCCCGTGGGTGAAACGTAATACAACTATTCTATCAATTTTGATCCTAAATAATGAGCATCTGGCTAATCATCTTCATCATCATATGTAACACAATGCTCCGAACTAGCATCTCCATCCTCAAAAAAGATTCAGCAATTAGCCTCGAATCTATTCAAGCCAAGACCCGGCTCGAAGGAGGTGGGGTAAGCACGTGCAGTGACGCCCCCAGTGTTGTCGAAGCTGCATGTCGGATCAGTCTCTACCTTCGTAGCAAATTTGAGCACAATCGCCTCATCCGTTCCCGAGATATAGGGGCGGTGTGTGCACGTGCGTTCATGCAATAGTTTCACCCCATGGACGCGTGGAAGCCACATAACTGGCCGCTAGCTACATGTCAGATATCAGAGCCAGTGTAAGACCCGAGTGAGTGTAAGTTTGCACTCACAATAGCCATAACAGCGAAGCAAATAGCTGCAATACTGCTCAATACAAGCAGTCGCGAGTTCGCAGTAAATCTGATACTTCAAATTGAAGCAAAATGCACAGATTACTCACCTTTCAGAGGTGATTCGGAGACCTGGTATCTGGTACCTGAGGGGCACGTATTTTGCGGTCTGCACTGAATAAGTAGCCAGCGGAGTGGGGTCAAAAATCCAAGCAGAAGGGATCATCATCATCTCGCCCTTAGTCACACGGTATGCCATATAGTGCTCATCAAACGAAAGCGCCCTCAAGACGTCACCGATGATTTTGACATGGTTTACTGCATCAAACTGAAAATATGCTACGCGAAGAAGATCACAGCTCTCTGAGCTTGAAGCAGCCGGGTTTCTCACGATCAGCACATCATCGACGCAGTACTTCTGTCCCGCAAGCACTGCCATCTTGGTGTACGTAGCTCGGTCATCCACCTCCCATCCGAATGCACCTGTAACTAGGCATGGCTTGCATTTCTTCCCCATCATCTTCTTTTGCTTTCCTTCGCATGCAGCTACCGCTTCTTGATGTCGCACTGCCAGGGTTTTACAAATGTTCTTGGTGTTGTGTGCTCGAGATGCGTAGATCTTGAACTGCTGGTGTTTAGCTTCAAAACGCATAGTCCAAGCTTTCCTCAAGGAACCAATTTGTGCTGCCCAGTGCCGGTAATGTAATAAGTAGTGGAACTTCGGCTTGATTTTGAAGTCCGGGAACATTCCACAGAACTCACGCAGCCACTGCTCTACTGAAGGTTGCATTCTTGCAAGAATTTCACCGTCCATACGTGGAGCACAAATGAGTTGTACAAGAGAAAGCAAACCGGTCACAAGAAGCCACGCCTTTTGATCTGGTGGGACCAGTGGACCGATCATGAAAGGGAGAACTCGGAGGAAAGTCCAGCACTGACTGAAAGTGCCTTTGACGAGCACTTTGCGCCCCTTTGCTTGAAGCATGGGAGGAGTGTTCGCTTTGTCGACTCTCGCATATGAGAAGGATTTCATAGCCTTTTGAACTGAGGCGAATGTGAAGAGTTTGATTTGAAAAATCAGGTATGATAGCACCAGAGCCAAGGAATGATTGACTACGCCACTTTCAAACAGATCGTGCGCGATATCTGGTGGAAACATCTCTGTGACCTTAAAGTCTTTCAGCTCATCAAACACACATTTTGAGTTGATACCAAATGCTTTTCGTGATTCCTCATTGTCTCCATTCTCACACATGTTCAGCTCTTCTTGGTACTCCTCCTCAGTACGAAGGGTCAGCTCTTGCTCTGTGAGCTTTGTACCAAAGTCCTCATTTGTGGCGTGGCATGTTCGGCATGGTCGCTGCCCTGACGAAAATGATTCCTGGAAGCCCGCCATCTTATGCACTCCCAGGTTGTCACCACACACAAACTCCACTTTGATATCAAAATGAGTGCCACAAGTATCCAGGCCATTGTTCAAGAGGTCACACAGGGAATCTGTCACAGGCTTCATGACTGTGTTCAAACCATGAAGCTTGATGAGCTTTGTAGGACATAGTAGGAGGAGATGAATGTCACTCAGCACCGACATTGACAAGCCCTCATCGACCGCAAAATAGCAACCACCCAGACTATAATCAGATGCTTTCTTCCGCAGAGGGTTACACACACCAAATTCATCAAAGTAGAGCACAAGCTTGACCAATCTGTCCCGTTTGCAGTTTTCCAGCCTGCCATTTTCCAAGAGACTTGTCAGCTGTTTCTTGACATCCACATACTGATAGCTGGATTGGAATTCACCACCCCCTGTGGTAAGGATCTGAGTCGTAGGTGCAATGTAGCAGAGCTCCTCATGGCAGAATTTGCTCAATTTATACTCGCTTGCAAACTCTTCACAAGCCTGCTTAACTGAAGACGACTTTGATGCTCTGCTCTCATTCTGCTCCTTAAGAGCGGTGTCGACGATTTCTCCTATCTCACTAGCCACGAAAGATGTTGCAGCCCGTGACATCCCATGCTCACATTGCAATCGAAGCAAGAAACGTGCTATTTTCTCCCGGCTACTGTCTTCAGTTTTTGCTGTAGAGCCTTTCTCACCCTGATCATCCAAGCACCAGGCCTCAGTCTCAACCTCAGCTTCTTCCTGACAATGAGTACTGATTGAAGGTGACTCCTCCAGACTTTGCCTTCCTTTCTCTTTGTGCGACTGTGACGTACTTTGCTTGACAGCATGGGTTCTCTCATAATGTCTCAGCCAGTAACGTCCAGTTGTGAACCCTTGTGTACAACGCGGACAGAGAAATAAGTTGCAGTTCTCAGATTTATCCTTGAAGTGGTTATTGATATGCTGACAAAACAAAGCAATTGAGCTAGAAGAAAACAGACATAATGGAACTGTACAACGCAGAACCACTTCTACAGTTGCCTGAAAAGAGGAAAGCCTGTTATGACTTATGATTCAGTTGGGCAAACTACGGGGAGGAAATCACAAATGTGATTAATCACAAATGTGATCATTTTACGCCTATTTTGCAGCACTTTTGGAAAATCACAAAATTTCACAAAGGTTATGTCACCTGTAGCCAGATCCCAAACACAATCAAAAACATGATAAGGAAAAGATGCCCTCCATGATGAGGGCTGTTCGGCCCGCACATCCTATTGTAAAATTTTGCAGCATGCATGCGCAGTAGGGACCTTTCAGGCCTTATGCTCCGCCCACCACCGTATGACGTCATATGTGTGACATCGGCATCTGCAAAATCTTTCAGCTTCACGCATCCTAAAATTTCAGGATGCAGGAGGCAAAAGTGGTGCAGACTTGGCGCAGACAACGTACAGTGGCGAAGTGTGCAGTGTTAACTAGTGAATTTATGCAGTGTTTGGTGTTATTTTGTCGGTGCATAAATTGGAAATGGGTTGGTGAAGTTTTTCATTAGTTATTACGTCGCTGCTTGCTGGAATGGAGCGGCACGATTGTCTCGCGCAAAATATGTTGAGGTGTTCGGTGCGTTCTGCGAAAGATTTTGCTTGACGGGATGGGCAGTGACATACAAGTGTGATGTCACAGTCGCGCAAAATATTTTGCAGCACCCGAACAGCCCTATGGTTTATCATGAAAATGATTATGCAGTCAGCTGGCTGAACAACTTTTTGAAAAGGCTGTCAGCTGGCTGATCACAATACTGATAACCAAATCAGCTGGCAAATCATGAAGTTGATCCATACATCCATCCATACATAGGTAGGTACACCAATCATCCTGCTAACAATAGTGATATAGCTGGGTGATCACCACACTAAATCAGTCCTGGTCCAGTCTGCAAAATGTGGCATTCTTCGACGAGATCTTGTCTGGGCAGACACCGCAGGTCGGGGCAGAAATAGGGGCAGGTTTCCGGAATACTGGGGCAGAAGCAGGAAAATCTGGTGCAGAAGTTTAAAAAATTGACGGAAGTGATTTTCTCAGCTTCTCACTGCTTCCTACATCATAATATCATTACATTATTTGCATCATTAGGGGCAGGAATTGGACTACCCCTGGACTCAGCATTCTGATTCGGGGCAGGACTTTGTCTGCCCTGAAAATCTTGTCGAGCTCCCTGCCATGTTTTGCAGACTGGAAATCAGTTGGGTAAACAGTGGCAGTGGCCATCTGTTTCATTTTTGGAAGCTTTCATTTTTTTTAGTATGCTCTTCCAAAAATAGAAGGGCATTTTCCAAAAATAGGGATGAAACTTCCATAAATCGGGACGGAAAAGGCCTTGTCAAATTTTGGAAAATAACACCACCCTCCAAAAATGGCTTTCAGCATAGGTGTAGGGACGTTTTGAGAAGTGTGTGTGTGGGGGGGGGGGGCAAGTCGAGCTGAGTATCCGATCTGATTGTAACGTAGCTGAAAGGTGGGTGGGCCATGGCCCGGCCGTCCCCCCCCCCCTGTTCCCACACCTATGGCTTTCAGTGCATTAGATCACACTTTGATGGCTTTCAATTATTCACAGAACATCAAAAATTACACACTTTGATAACTAACTCACCTAAAATATATAAAAATCGACAAAAATTGAAATCTTCTCGTAACGGGGTCATGCCAATAATGCGCGCCTAATCAAGGATGAAATGACTCACAAAAGAAAAATACTACATATGCAATGTGTGGGCAATAATGACGTCATAAGACCAAAAAGGAAATATCAGTAAAACTATGAAATATACTATTAAATGTCGTTTAAACAGTAAAATGGGACTAATAAACATATTTAAACCAGACTTAACAGAGCCTTACCTAACCTAACTATATCTAAACTACAACCTACGGATGTTTGATGATGCGGTCTACTCGCTAGTTGCGAAAAGGGATAGGTCTTAGGCCAGGGATTTACTTATCAAAAATTAATTTTGCAAGCCACTGTACAAACAAATCTCCTTTTTTACTGATTCTTAAAGATAAACAGGCCTATCTCCGGTCATGCGGCCAGTAGTTACCCGCGGTAGTGTCGAAAATGCCGAGATAGCCCAAATATAATAGGCGGAAAAACGGCCAAGGTAACCCGGAGAGCTTTGCATTCTTGCTATTTTTGGAAGATAATTTGTTGATTCATACTACAGTGACTTGCCCAAAAACCTACAGTGTAACCCACATTATTTGTTTCAAATAAAAAATCGTAATTTTTATTCTAGATTTCCAAAAATGCTGCCCGCCATAAACCAGGGCATAAACTCCTTCACCTTGGCCTATCTTGGCCATTTCCGCCAATTTACATTCCGACTAGAAACGGCGGCTACGAAGTTTCTTGTTTCTTATAGGTATCTTGGCTACGAAAGCTGATCTGTGACGTCCGGGATATGACGAAGTGGCTACATGAGGCATAACGCTGAATGCCTCTGCCCGCCTCTGCACTAGCCGAAGTGAGCCGAAATTCACTTCGGAATGTAAGTTTTTAGTGGCCACCCTAGAAGCCAAGGGCGTCGCCACAGGGGGGGGGGGGGGATGGAGGGGATCTCGTCCCCTCCACTGTTTAAAGATTTTAACATTACGCCTATGGCGTTGCATGGAAAGAATCGACTTGAAATGGTCCTCGTCCCCTCCAAAATGGTCAATGTCCCCTCCAGACGTTGCACCGTGGCGTCGCCCCTGCTAGAAGCTTTAAAAAAAGGAACATATTACTGTTTTCCCAACTGAAGTGGGGTGGGCCTAAAATATTTGCTTTTCCCTTGCCTAACACATCTCCCATGTCAGATTTTACAGCACACACTAAGTGTGAGCTGCTCTATTGATCGATATCAAAAGTATCTGGATTACTAAATATCTAGACAAGTGATAATCAAGAGTTTCACCTTGTGATCCATTAAAGTAAGGCAATGTGAACTGCATTCTTAGTCAGTGGGTAGTTAAACTACATGTCTAAGCTGCAGCAGCAGAAGGCATAGGCCTGGGAAGAGGAGGGACAGCAGGTGCATTTGCCCCTCCCACTTTTGGACTGGAGGGGCAGCGCCCCTCCAACTTTCGGGAAAATTCAACATTAGCCTTATGGCGTTGCATGGAAAGAAAGAAATATAGAACTTTTGAGTTTTAACTTTTGCCCCCTCAACTTTTTAACCTGCCCCCTCAACTTTTCAAACGTTCCCGGGCCACTGGCGGACCGTGGAAGGCACCTCAGGATGTAAGGGCAAAGTAAATATCTAATTCTCGCATAGAAAAGCATCCCCAAGAATTGAAACCCCCATAGAAGAAAATCAATGTTAACAATTTTATCTGCAATAATGCGGTAACTCATCTTCCATTCCATATGCTCTTCTTTAAATGTCGGGTGTCAGTGAAAAGTTCCAACGGTACCTGTTCCAACATTAGTAATAATGTAGGTATAGTATAGGTGTTTTTCGATGTGAAATATCATTGTTAGTTATTTGCAAACATCAAAAAGCTAATTAAATGCTGATTTTCCTGTTATTAGTTAATTTAGTCTACTTTCAATAACGGCACAAGTAGCTTTCGGTTGCCAATGTAGGTTGTAGGTGTATTTTTGGTAAGTTTAGGTTAGGTTTTGTTAGTTTAGGTTAGGTTAGGTAAGGTTAGGTTAGGTCTGGTTAGGTTAGGTTAGGTTATATTTTGTCCGAGCTATGTGCCTATACCCATCAGTGTTCATAATTTGGTTTAGGTGTAAATTTTCTGGCTATTTTAGGTGGTTATTGAAGTTAACACCATTGGTTAACATTAATCAATAGATATAACTAATCTAGCCACAGCGGAAAGGTAAGGTACTATTGGAAATTTCGACCCAGGTGCCCCAGCCACAATTTTGTGTGGCACATTCCCCTGTTGTGCTTCACCTTCTGCCACCCCTGTACCTTGGAACCGAATACTTAAATGATTGCCTTTATATGCAAGTTCCATTCAGCTATACACTGGCGGAACCAGGGGAGTTAACCTGTTTCCTGAATTAAATTGACTCTCACCAGTCATTTTGAGAATGTGGCAAGTTGCAACTCCCATGCTTCAATGTTGCAAAAATTATCATTTGGGACCCTACCAATAAATTTCAGAAAATGATGCCCATTTCAACTTTCACTGAACAGGAAAGAACGTAAAGAAATTTTAAATAAAAATATTTTTAGGTGAACAAAAATGGGCAGTTTTTGCCCAATAAAGGTTATCCTATGACTGCAAGGCCACCTGAAATGCGTTAGACAGATCTTACTAGAGTTGTCCTTAGACATAGTTGTCGGGTTTATCTTACTGGGCCACCTTATTCATGTGCAATTAAATAATTAGGGGGCTGTATCAAAGTATAATCTACAGCAACCTAGTAACCTCAGTAATAACCTATAGAATTCCTATATTTTAACCTATATTTTGCTAAGATACAGTTGGTGGTCATAATGCTGTCCCTCATTCACACAACATTCATTGCATCATCACGGTTATCACTAGCACCGAATAAAGATAAATCGATTGACAAAATTCAAGGCATACAACACAGAAGCATAATTACATCAAATTTATATCTGGCAACACCTTACTCACCATCAGAGACCCGCACGACGCGGACACAGCACAAGCCGCACAAGCCAAAGGACGCGCGCCGAAAAAAACATGGCGGACGTGACGCAGTTGCACCGCAGTTGTCAAATAACTTCAAGTGTGTTTTAGCACAAAGGTACATGTTGTACAAAAGGTCGTATGTTAGTGTCCCCTGCTATGTATAGTTTGTTCGAAAACACGTTTTGCGTAAGTGTGGCATATAGTGTATAAAACACGCATAGTGCTTGCTGACACACCACTAGTTGACACACCTTGGCTTAGTTTTGTAACTTATATGTTTGTTTACCACAAATAAATGTGCTTACATACAAACCGTTTACTAACCTCATTGCTATCTTCAGCTTTTGTGTGTCTTAATACTATCTTTTTGTTGAGCAATTAACACGGTAGTTTGTAAACTTTTTTTACAGTGTAGGAGCGCCAAAAATATTGGTGAAGGATGTCACCTGAACCTTCGGGGAGGGTGCAGGACCTTACCGCAGTGGAGGGGGGGGGGATTTCGCCAACTCCTTTTTTTTTCTCGCAAATGTCTCACGCCAATCGCCATTATCATCTAATTAACGTCAACTTTTCAGTACACGCCTAAAATTGAATTTTTAGGTATCCAAGCATACCTTTGGATACCTACCAAAGGTATCCACCATCCAAGCATACCTTTGGAACCTAAAGGTATGCTCCACTGCATTTTTTTCGTGACCAAAGTCTTACAACTTTCCCACGAGTAAAAACAAGCCAATTTATTTCGATATTCACGGCATTTACTGAGACACATTTACACGTTTACCAACTTCAATACAGTTTTCGGCTTTACCATATGGTGGAGTATCTCTTTAGTATTGGCACGAGCGTTCGGAAAATGTTGGTATATGTTCTAGTAATCTTGGTATATGCTTTCGGCCCGCTCAGACTGTAATGCTTTAGGTATCTGGGAATATATATTCCCGACCGGGGCTGGGAAAATGCGTTTTATTCACCGAGGTTTTTGTGCGGAGGACCGAGTGCCGGTAGGCACGAGGTCCGTAGCAAAAAACCGAGGTGAATAAAACTGCATTTTCACAGCCCAAGGTTGGGAAGAGATTTACCACATGCCGTACCGGCGCAACAGTTTAATATCATATTCATTTGATATTTTACACTTTAATCTTCATATTGTGTTAATAATATATTAATACTATGCACTGGCGGATCCAGGGGGGGGCCACGGGGGCCATGGCCCCCCCCCCAAAGGCCTAAAGTGGCCTGTTTGGCCCCCCCCCCAAAACGTCAGAAAAATTTCTAAGAAAATATACCTTGATGGAGGTTTTTAGCCACTTGGTGAAGTAAAGTTTCCACAGCATAATATGGAAGCAATATGGTAGCAGTGAGGGTCAGTCAAAAGTTGCGCGAGCGGAGTCGACCTTCAAAAAAAGACTGTTGTTGGCACGTGTTTATGGCGCGGCAGCTGGTAGTTGGCGGTGTTTCGCGTGGTGTGGCATCACTGGCGGATCCGGGGGGGGGGGGGGGGTAGCACGGGAGCCTGAGGTGCCCCTGACAGGCCCGTGGTGCCCTTGCTAGGCCTGTGGTGCCCCTGGACCCTGGCAGGCCTGTGGTGCCTCTGGCGGGCCTAGGGTGCCCCTGCTAGGCTGCTGATGCCCCTGGGACCTGACAGGACTGTGGTGCCCCTGACAAGCCTTAAGTGCCCCCAACAGGCCCGTGATGCCCCCGACAGGCCCAAGGTGCCCCTGCGGCCTGTGTGATGCCGTGATGCCTGCGAGGCCGGTGGTGCCCCTGCGAGGCTGGTGGTGCCACTGCGAGGCCGGTGGGGCCCCTGACAAGCCCATGGTGCCCCTGCGAGGCCGGTGGTGCCCCTGCTAGACCGGTGGTACCCCTGGCAGGCCTGTGGTGCCCCTGCTAGGCCGCTGGTGCCCCTGGGCCCTGACAGGACTGTGATGCCCCTGACAGGCCCAAGGTGCCCCTGTAAGGCCGGTGGTGCCCCTGTAAGGCCTGTGGTATCCCTACTAGGTCTCTGGTGCCCCTTTGACAGGCCCATGGTGCCCCTGCGAGGCCGGCGGCGCCCCTGGCAGGTCTCTGGTGTCCCTGACAGACCTGGGGTGCCCCTGACAAGCCTGTGGGGCCCCTCACAGGCCCGTGGTGCCCTTGCTACTTGCTAGGCCTGTGGTGCCCCTGGCGGGCTGGTGGTGCCCCTGCTAGGCCGGTGGTGCCCC